CAGCAGCAGCAGCAGCAGCAGCAGCAGCAGACCTGGGTGGGTGAGGGCAAAAGTGGCGAGGCTCTGCAGCACGTCGAGTTCGTTGATGCAGTGTACAGACACCGCAAAGACTTCGTTGTACACCTCAGCAAATTGTTTCATGAGGCGGCAGCGGAAAGGATAGAAGGAGTCGTTCAGTTCCAATTCAAAGTCTACGCACAAAACCCTAAACCCTAAACACTAAACACTAAACCCTAAACCCTAAACACTGCGGGGCACGCGGCGCCCTGGAAACAGGCGGCGCTGCTGCTGCGCGCCGTTTCTGCTGCCCGAACTCTAGAGCTTCAAGTGCCATTGCAAACCCTAAACCCTAAACCCTAAACCCTAAGCCCTAAACCCTAAACCCTAACTCACCCTCAAGCTGGTCAACAAGCTCGCAAATTGCCGGCGTCCGGAAGCTGCACTCACCCGGAGACCCTCCCAGCCAAACCCGAAACCCTAAACCCCAAACCCTAAACCCTCGCAGCTAGTCAAACCCTAAACTCTAGACCCTAGCCAAAGGAGATGAAACGCAAGGTAGGTCATTCTAACGGAATCAGCACAGTAGAAAACTGTAGGGCTTAGGGTTTAGGGTTTAGGGTTTAGGGTTTAGGGTTTACCGGATAAACCCTTTTCTTGAGGACGTAATGTCGGCGTCGAGGCGACGGAGGGTTTCTTTGGAAATGTTCTCCGGGCACTCCACTTCGTATCTGGCCAAATACATTAAACCCTAAACCCTAAACCCTAAACCATAAACCCTAAACCCTAAACCCTAAACCCGACAACAGCAGCTGCCCGAACTGCCTGCTGAGGCGGAGCAAGCGGCTGGGCTGCAACCAGTCCTCCAGGAGCTTTCGACACCTTAAGGTTTAGCGCTTAGGGTTTATGGTTTAGGGTTTAGGGTTTAGGGTTTACTTGAACTTGGTGTGGCTGTACTTCAAACTCATGCCTGCTGCCTGCTGCAGCTGCTCGAGGATTTCCTCCAGCTGGCTGCGGCACTTCGCTATAGAAGCAGCAGCAGAGTCGTACTCCGGCACCAAACCCTAAACCGCAGACCCTAAACCCTAAACCCTAAACCCTAAACCCTAAGCCTTGTCAGGCCCTAAACCCTAAGCCCTAAACCCTGGAGCCGGAACCCTTAAATGATGCGGCAAGCCGCTCCAGAGACGGTGTCAAACGCAAGCACCAAGCCCTAAACCCCAAACCCTAAACCCTAAACCCTAAACCCTGAAACCGAAAACAGCTTTTTTAAACCCTAGAGCCACGGCGAAAGCGCGCGACGCACAGAAGACAAAAGGAGACAAAAGTGGAGAGAAAAGGAGACAAAAAAGATTCGAAAAAGAGACAAAAAAGGAAAAAAGAAACCAAAAAGGGACAAAAAGGAAACAAATGAAAGAACAAAAGGGACAAAAAAGGGACCAAAAGGAGGCACGAATCAGATAAGAAAAGATTCAAAAGAGGAGACAAAAAAAGATTCAAAAAGAGATTAAAAGGAAAAAAAGATCCAAAAAAGACAAAAAAAAATTCAAAAAGGAGACAAAAGGAGGCAAAAAAGATTCAAAAAGAGACAAAGAAAGAGACAAAAGAGGGGACAAGAAGGTTCCAAAAAAGAGACAAAAGATTCAAAAAGAGACAAAAAGAAGACACAAAAGAAGACAAAAAAAGATTCATAAATATTCAAAAAGAATCCGAAAAGGAATCCAAAAAAGAATCCGAAAATAATCAAAAAAAAGAATACAAAAGCCAAAAAGAGATCCAAAAGAGAACCAAAAGGAGACAAAAGGAGACGGCAGCAGCAGCAGCAGCAGCAGCAGCAGACCTTGACTGGGGTAATGTTGCCGTCCGGCTGGAGACACAAAAAGGCCTTCAGTTTGCTGCAGTGCTGCAGCAGCAAAGGAAAGCTGCCGCCTTCTTCGGGGCTTGCGCAAAGATCCCACAGCCGCTGCGGCCACAGCTCCCCCGCTGCTGCTGCTGCTGTTGCTGCTGCTGCTGCTGCTGCTGC